TAAAACAGATTGAGGTTTGTTGTCTCATTGGGTTACTATCACTTGGAGCGGGTGGACGCTTGCTTTACTTTAATTTTCTTTAGCTTTTTTCTCCACCTTAGCTTGATTTTGTTCTCTAATTTTCTCCCTTCATTAGCGTTGCACTTTCTTTCTGATTATTTGATTCAATAAAATTCGGTAAGAGTTTCCCAGCTCTTACCCCACTGATTGGTGGTTTTTTGGGATTAAAAAAAAGCACCTCCTAACTTTTGGCTTAAAAAGCTAAAAAGAGTTTTTTCAAATGACAACTTCTACTTAAATTAATGCTTAAAAGCTAAAAGCTAGAATCTGCTTTTTACTTTTTCTATGACACAAAAAACACTTATTTTATCAAACACTATCAACTTTAACTTTTCAAAATCAATTTTTTCTCAAACACTACCAACTTTTACTATTAAACATTTTTTCCAAAATCACTTTAAAAAGTTCAAAAGCATTTATGAGTAGTGTTTGCAAACAAAGCCTCGGTATTTCAGAAAATGATCTCCAAACTTATCAAGTATTTCTACACTTTGACTCAAACAATCCAATGTTTGATTCTACTCTACTCTCTCAAAGAGCAGAAACCTAGTTTTAAAAATCAGATCCACACACCTCCTAAGTGACTATGAGACTATTAAATGTGGTACTAGTTTCATTTCAATAATATATTTGGAAAACTTCTTAATTCCGGTTTTCGGTTGATGTGTATTAGAATTTTTACAAAAGTGATAATTGTGAAAAATAAAAATATTTACACTTTTTTTATAATGTGCAAACAAAAAAATAACAAACCGAAAAGTAATTACTATAAGCTAAAGCACTAAAGCACATATCAACCATTTGTGGGGTTTATCTTATTTCTTGTTTCAATTGTTTCTTTTTTATTAAACTTTCAAAAGGGGAAACACACCAACTCACACCGTCAGACTTCATTGCAGTATTGCACTCAATGTTCTAAAAGGCGCAAGACGCTAGTCGGGCATCAGCCTAGCGCCTAGCGCCTAAATGGTTAGGCGGGTGTCTAATCGGGGACTAGTCGAAGACATAGAAATTGCATTTTTATTTGTATTTTTTCATAAATATGATAAGTAATTATGTATTTTTGTGTGTATAAAAATATATACATATACATTTACAAACATGAATGACAGAATTATCACATTTAATCATACGTAGTATATGACAACTACTCACTTAACTTCATAATGTTATAAATATAAATAATGATAAAATTTGGGTATATGTACAAATATATATATGTTTATCTTAATTTACAACTTCATTTCTTTATACTCTTGACTAAAGTTAAAGTACGTATAACGCTTAGAAATTTAATATTAAAAACTAAAGTAATGTTCGGCGAATCTAGACGACCTAGGCGCGCGATCGATTAGGCGCTCTAGGCGGGAAATTAGGCGCCATAGGCGGCTAACTAATTCACCTAGACGACTAACCAATTAATCGGAGTGTCTAGAAAAAAATCGGAGCGTCCGACCGCCACTTAGTGCTTAGGCGGGGACTAATCGAATGCCTAGAACGATTTTTAGAGCAAAGATTGCAATATTAAACTTTCAAAAGGGAAACACACCGGTAGAAATTCGATTTCTATTTTTTTTCTTCTTTTTCTCTTCTTTCTTTCTCTCGCAAATTCACCTTCTTCCTAGCATCGCTGCCGCCCACCACACTTGTGCCGCCGGCCACCAGACTTGACTTCTCGCGCCATTGTTCAACCGACGGCCACCACACGTGCGTAGTTGCCACGCTTCACTACATTTAGTTACCGCCCTTCACTCCACTTGAGTGATCGCGGAATGAGTTTCGGAATATTCTCCCTATTAACAATCCCCTAACCTCTCGGAGTGGTCACGCCAAGCCTGTGAATACTAACTTGAGTGATCATGCAATGAGTGTTCCGTCTCATCTCAAACATCAATATGGTAGTTAATTTTTTGCTAAAAATCTAAAGGTGTTTGATCAATCAGTGGCGTTTTACTCGAGAAATGTGCTGGAAAAACATGGACACATAAAAAATCAAGTAAGAGCAATTTCTTTTGATTTTTAAAAGAATAAAAACTTATTTATTAATAATGAAAGTAACCAGAGCTAGAGCAATACAATAGCTCCAGATTACACTGAGATGAAACATAGAATCGATTAGTCCTCAAATACCTATCATATTTGCTAACTCTGCAACGATGTAGGCAAATCTAACAACACTGCAGAACTTGCTACTAAAATGAGAGGTAATTGAATAAAATCCTTTAAATAAAAGCAACAAAATAATTCAAGCATCCCGGTTTTATCAATCAACAGGAAAGAAAAGAGGTTTGTCCATCCACCTTCAATGGAAGCATCCCAATTTTACCAGACACTGAGAAGGGAGAAGAGGTTTTACCAGCCGCCTCCAAAGGAATCATCTCATTTACGGGACCTAACAATATTTTAGGCGGTGCTGTTCCGAGAGCACCACCGCATTGCCGTTTTTTTATCCCTCGCCGCCAACCTCCTCTGTTAACATCCTTTCATAAGCCTGATTTAAGCTCTCCATTAATGGCCAACAAAATGAACGCCAAATCCAAGACAGAGAAAAAGAAGCAGCGGAACTCATGATCAAAAACCCAAACATGTTCACAATTAGAACGAACCAAACCCTCAACAAGAGAAAACTCAGCCAAACAAACAAAGCGAGAAGAAATCTTGTGTCGTTGCTGCTAGGGTTCACATCTCGCTAGGCTGCAACGTCTTTTTTGGTAATTTAGTTAAGAGAAAATTCTTGTCGTGTAACGTGACTAAATGATACTGTTGACCATCACACACCTACCACAACACTCTCCTTCTTTATCCTGGCTTGGGACATGCATGATAGCAATTTCTTATGTTTTTTATCATCTAGCTTTTATGTTGTTTTATCTTTTTATCTTTTATCTTTCTTATATTCTTATGCTACTTTTATTTTATATGTAGTTATCTTTATCTTAGCCGTTTTATCTTACATTTTTTCCTTTTCTTATTCTTCTTATTTTTTGTCTTCTCTTTTTGGCAAATCGAGTCATGTTAGCCGATCCCAAAATCTTTTAAGATTAAGGCTTGGATCAGGGGCGGCTTTGAGGGTAGTTGGGCCAGGCAACTGCCTTGGGCCTCAACTACCAAGGGGGCCTCCAAAAAATTCTACTCCGGTATTAGTATTAGGTGTTATTCACAGACCGCCAATACACCAAGCGGCAACGTCAAGCAGAAATCAGCTTTATAGTTCACTTTTGACTATTTGTCCTTCATCAAAGTTGTAGATAATGAAGTCTTCTATCCAACACAACTTTCAAAACTGGATTTGAATCATCCAATAAAAATATATGAATAAAATGGTGGAAGGTCGCATTCTGAAATCTCAACAGAGGTTGTCTGACTTTATCGTCTTTTTTCACATTGCTTCACTCAGATTCTCACAATAGTATCTTCATGTGATTTGTAGCCCTTGAAGTTGGCTTTCATATGAAACTTGAATCATGTTTTTTGGATGTTCCTAAGAAAAGATATGCTTGAACGATTGACAGAACGTCATCCTGACCGTTGTTTTCAAGCTCTATTCGTCTTCTTTTGATCCCGTAGCCAATTCTAGAGCTCTTTTGTCTTCAAAACTTTGTCTTTAACACCTCACCGATCTCCGATGCTCCTAATCAACTCTAAAATGCTTCTCAACTCGTCCCTATTGCTTCTCAAACACTGGTGCCAGGCTCAAATTCCCTGATTTTGACTCCAAAAATACCAAAACTCGAACCAACGGCCGGTAAATATGACTTGTGCTTAAAATTGAGACTTATGACACCTTAAAGTTAGGAAAAAAACTATCAAAAGCCGATCTCAACACGCATCAACATCCAACACAGACCGCTAATCGGCTACTGTATATATGCCTCACTGCCCGCCGTCGACATGAGTCCTTGGTTAGTGAATCAACTAAGACTCTTCAGCTCTTGTCTCTGAGTCTCGTTCTTGAAGTCTCTTAATACTTTTACAAATACAAGTTTGCCTTGTGTTTTGAATAAGTTTGCATTTTAAAATTTATCCTTTTGAATATTACAAACATTATATCGTGGACTTTGAATATGCTTTTTTTCATAAGGCGATTTTTATTCAATTTATCTGATTTTAAAAGTGATTTGTACATAGTAAATATTTTTCGTCTGGGGCCTCCAAAATGCTCAAGCCGCCTCTGGCTTGGATGTTGTAGTTGTTAAGAGCAATTTCTTGTTTCTAAGGATTGGAGGTCTCTGCCAGGTAGGTTGCATATCCTTTATAAGCTCTTGGAGACTTGGATTCCATTTCCGTACATCTCATACATTTTCTTCTTTTACGTGCTGCCCTTGGATTGCCTCCAAGCACTGTGTCGTGCGCCAGAAGATCATGTTTTAACCTAACAGCTTTTTCGAGCAACTCAAATTTAGTAAAAAAAAGGATGACATCCTATCCCTGAGGGCCCCCAACCTTGAATAGAGAGTGTGACTCTGTCCCCGTTACTTGCAGAGGCCCTATGCATTTTTAACATAGTAACCCTTCATCGCAGTTGTCGGGATTCGAACTCGGGACCTAACCCTTGTGACACTCCCTTGCTACCAATTGAGCTACACCCACCCACCGGTAGCAACTCAAATTTAGTTTTCTTAGAGTTTGAGGTACATTCTTGAGATCTTAAAATTAGCCCAATCAAATCAGGATCACTTGGTGTAACGGTAAACTCTAAAAGCTAAAAGTATTAGAAATGACCACTTACTTGAAAAGCATTGCGAGAATCAGAAATTTATTTGGAATTTGGATTATCTAGTTGAAAGTGAACTGTTTATTATCAAGTAAAACGACAAGCATCATAACAGATTGACAGAAATTCGTTCAGTCACCCGTTCTGTATAGAAAAATATTATTCTAATTTTAAATTGTAATAGAAGTATTTGAAAGAAAATTTAAAAAAAGTATCGGTGATGTGCTGGAAGGCCTGGAATCGGTTGCTTTTAATGAAAAAAATTGAAGTGACGTTGGCAAAACATGATCATATCCTGCAATATTTTTCAGTGTGTAATTCAAGGATTAGGAGCTTCACGTGCAGCACCACTTTTATTTCAACAAAATGTGTGCGAAGTACAAAATGGCTGAGAGAATGTTCAGTTTTTTTACTTATACAGCTGCAAAGTACTCCTTGCTGAGCTTGGGATCGGGTTTCATTGACTTCTCACCAGGCTTCCATCCAGCAGGGCACACTTCATCGGGGTTCTCCTGGACATACTGCAATGCCTGCAACAACACTTGACTTATAAGTGTCCTAAGCATGCTCCAGTCATTTACACTTTACAGTGTATTGGCTTTGAGTGTACATATTTATTTAAGGAGGGTATGTCTGCCTTAATGGTGAGGTAGAGCTCAATTAGATGAGGGCATGGATGAAAATGGCTGAACAAGCTAAACTACCCACTCAAAAAGGGTATAAAAGCGCAGTTTTATTGATAAGTAGGGAAAACAATATATAAGAGTCAAGACACGTGAGGGAAAGGGGTTAGTTTGTCTTCACTTCTGTCATTTCAACAAAAAAGATTAACTCTGGCACTGTTATAAATTTAAGGTATACGCAAGCATGTGAAAACAAATATTTGTTACTATAAATTGTGTTCAAGACTTAATTTATAAAAATTTAATAAAACAATAATGCCATTTGGGATGCGATGCGACTAATCACTAATAGCATCCCAAATGGCAACAAGTGGCAAGCCATGTGGTATTTAACAGAGATGAATGGAAAACTTAAGCAGGACCAGGACAATATGAACTATGAAGTTCAGGGATTAGAGGTTTAAAGTTTTTTTATTGAAGACCAAAAAAAATATTACTAGTATGATAAAAGCATGGGGACCAAACATGTATTTAATCTACATGTTTTCATCTTCATATAGTCTAGAAACAATTTTTCAAATGATGCATCCTAATGCCAACATCAACACAAAGTACACAAATGAGGCAAGGAAAAGAAAGTCTACCTGGAGGGTTCTCAATGTTTCATCAACACTTCGGCCAATAGCAAGATTGTTGATGGTAGAGTGTTGAATGACTCCCTCCTTATCTATGATGAAGAGTCCTCTCAGTGCGATTCCCTGGAACACCCATTACATGAGCAAGTGCTGATTATGTAAACACTCAAGATAGAAATGCAGTTTCAGCCAGATATTTATCATAAATTAGACAATTAGAGGAGGGTTAAGTTATTCATTTGGATTGCTCAAAAAGGGAAAAAACAAAAACAAGAATAATCATACCTGATGTGGAATAAGCACATTGTAAGACTCTGAGATTGATTTGGTCATGTCAGAAATCAATGGATACTTCAGATCACCCAATCCCCCAGACTTTCTTTCAGTTTGGACCCATGCAAGATGAGAGAACTGTATAGAAGTCAAATGAAGATTATTGAATCATTACGAAATACAGAACAGTTAGAGCCCGTCTGGCAAGGGTGAGTTTCACACTTTCGCTAAAGTCGCTAAAATTTTGGCAGATATTAAGAAAGTTGGTGAAATAATTTATAACAGAACTATGTTTGAAATAAATATTATCTTTGAAATAGAGAAAAATGACGCTGACATGATCACTATGGCAACTTCATCCAAATCTACCTTCATTCCTAATTTTTCCATTATTAATCAATCCAGCATGGTCAGTCGAATAAACTAGTATATGGTGAACAAATCATGTTCATAACATCATAATACTGATACTATCCAAAAAACAATACAATCAATATATCCAAGAATGACAAGACCTCACACCAAAGCAGTACTGAAGAACTCAAACCGTAAAAATAGCATTAAGAAAAAACTATGGAAGCATGGATGCCCCAGACATGAAAGAAAGAAACAAACCACACTGTCAGTGGATACACCTAAGACTTCAGTGTTTAACTTCTGAAACTCTTCATAGCGGTCACTAAAAGCAGTGATCTCTGCATGAATATGAAAGCAAAGTAGTTTAGCAAAAATCTTTAGAATCAAACATCACAAGCACATAGAGTATTTTAAGTCATCATAAGGAATCACCAGTTGGACAAACAAATGTGAAGTCCAGTGGATAGAAAAATAGAATCACATACTTCTTCCCAATGTAGTCGGAAAGCTTAACCTGCAATGACAATAAGTCTAGTTATGAGTGGAGAGGCCACTGCATTGAAGCTCAAGATTTAATAGAAACAACGGGATTGGATTGTAAGGGCACCTATGATGATATCATAATACTTAGATAGTCAGATGAAGTTGGAAGAAACACAGAAAATATAAAGTAAAAGAATTGGACATAGGATTTTCCCCCTGTTTTACACATGAGTAAGCATTTTTTAATAATCTTTTTTCCCTGTAATTTAAAGTAAACTGGGTTACATAAATTACATTGATGAATTCCTGGTCGAAAACAGCCTCAGCTTCAAAATCAGGTGCTATATTCCCTACCAAAGGAAGTTCACCCTGTGAAATGAAACATGAAAGAACATTAAACGAGTCCCACATTCACAATATTCTGAGAGATAATAGACGCGATATATGTGCATTTAGGTTGCAACTCAGTGCTGTTATAGGTTTCAGAATTGTAATTGGAACCATCCATTTGGTTGTTGTCAATGTCAACCCCAAATGTTCACAATCGCCCCTATCCAATACACAATCAAGAATCAAAACCGTTTTGGTTGACAATACATATCAGCTAATTTCGCTTCTAACGTTGCAAGCAGAGTACAATATCGAGAAATAACAAGTGACAAAAACTTACTGAAGCGCGGACAACAAAGCTGCGGTTTTTGGATGGAGCGGAGCGAGAAGAGAGCAAGCAAGGGACGCGGGAGACGAAGGGCTTGCAAAAGCGGGGGCCAGTGAAGGAAGAGGGAACAGCAAGAGTCTGAGAGAAAGAAGAGTGCTTAGCGAATGAATTGGGAGAAATGCTGGCCTTAGGAATGGAGCAGACCACCGCCGTGGAAGCGCCAGTAAGAGCCATTGAAGATGTACAGCTGGAAAGTGGAAGCGCAGTAGAGGGGAAAGAAGATGGGGAAAGGTGTGGTCCGTGTGCTAGCCTGGTAGGTAGCTTTAAGCCTTGAAGTTCGATACGGGCAAGAAGGGGCCAGTGCAGAGAAGCCCGTTACATTGATCCAAAAAGGTGGAATCTCCCACCTGAGAGCCTCCACCCCGGCCCAACCAATAGGACGGTGAGGAGATTAGTCACGGTGACTCGGTCATCAGAATGGTAGTAGCCTAGTAGGTTCATACATCCGTGCGCACTAGAGGTACAACCTTATTAAACTTATTTCAGGTTCTGAGACCTTCACTCGGTCACTGCGAGTTTTGAACCTTAATCCATTGATCCAAATGTCCCACCACTCGACCAACTAAGCTACCCGTGCAGGTAGGAGAAAGCCCATTCAAAATGCTAGGTGTACACATTTTGTGGAGACTCCTCTACCACTCTATAAATGGAGGCTCTATAAGTGTCTTCACTTCATCTTTCACACCCTTTAAATATCCTCATTTTAATTTCATATTTCTCTCCCCCTCCACCCCTCCCTGCGCCCTTTTCTTTTACCGCAGCCCCCTTCCCCCTTTCTTCCACCTTTCTCTCCTCTTCGTCTCTGTCTGCGCCCCTTTCTATTCCCCCAGCCCCCAATCTCCTTCTTCCTATTTTCTTCATTTTAAAACCTCTCTCTCAGTCTCTATTCTTTGAGGGTCTCTCTATTTAAGAGCTCTCCATCTAGTTTCCACAGACTTATTCATCTCCAAGGTATCCACTCTTCTCAAACCATTCCTCTATGAGCTCTCCATCTATATTTCGATTTTTCTTCATGTGCATTTTTGTTTGATTTTATGTATATTATGTATGTTATAACATTAACTAATTGATTAATTCGTTTTATTGTAATGGATTTGATGTGTTAATTAATTGAAAATTTTGCATAATTGCTCTACTTCATTTTATGCCCATAATATGTTTGTTGAAATTAACCAAAGAATTCTTTGTTCAAATTTAAGACTTTTTTTTCATTTTTTGTACCTCAATGTTCAATGTGTCTTAAATTGTATTTTTCTGGATTTCCTATTTAATATGATATAATGACTCTTTATTCACTATTTTATTTGATTGTTATGAATTTGCTAGGTTTGTTATTTATTACGGTCAACATGGGTATCTTTATTGGATCTTTTGCATAACATGTTAATTTTTTGCACCCTTGGCCAGTGTATTGTTACTTCATGTGCTTTTTACATTTAGAGTTATATTTGGTTTAGGAAAATGATTTATAGATGATGCTATGCATTCCACCTGATTTATAAAGGTGGAAGAAAGGGGGAAGGGGGCTGCGGTAAAAGAAAAGAGGAAAAGTGGGTAAAGAAATATGAAATTAAAATGAGGGTATTTAAAGGGTGTGTCAAAGGCAGGGGCGGATCTAGCTTTGTCATCCAGGTGGGGCCAAAATGTAATTAAAAATGAATATTCAAAAAAATATTTATTCTAGCAACAAAATCAAAAACAAAAATAAAGATTATAGGAATAAAAATTTGCATTAAAGTCAAATACAAAAACACCATAATTTTACAACTGTTCTCTACGGGTTTTCATCGATTGATATCGTTTGATAATGACATCATTGTCAATTTTCAAGAAGATGTCTTTTTCCACATAAACAATAAGTCTATAATCGAGCCAGTCGTCACTCATCCAGTTGCTCAACCTATCTTTCACGATATTCATTGCTGAAAATACTCTTTCAACATTAGCGGTTGCAACAGGAAGAATCAATGCCAATGTCAACAACTTGTAAACTAAGGAAACACCTTGTGCTTCTTAGTTTTTACCAACTTCTCTGCAAGGTCACCAAGTCCATTGAGCTCCTTAAATAAAGCATTAGAGCGCACATCAAAGATATAACTTTCAAGTTGATCAGTGAGAATACAAACATCTAATGGTGAAAAATCCCGGGGATAAAACTCGGCCAATCTAAGCAATTTCTTCTTCTCAAAAGCAGAAAATGAATCTCGTGAAGATAAGCAAGCAATGCATAGTAGCAACTCTGTACTAGCTTCTGAGAAGCGATCACCCAACTCTTGCAGTTGCAAATCAATCACATCACAAAATAGATCATAGCGATAGTGATGCAAATTAGTAAGAGTTGGTCCTTTACGTACAGGGCGACCTCGAGAATCAAAACGGATGAATGTGTCATTCATGTTTGGGATATCAATAGAATGTTGATCACAAAAATTACAAACCTCCTCAAACAATGAATCCCATCTGTCATCTCTAGAAGCTTGAAGTCTGTACCTGCAAACTCTAACAAGATCCATTGCATTGACAATATCTTGGTCACGCCTTTGTAAAGCATGAGACAACTCATTTGATATTCCCAAAATAAATTTCATCATATGCAAATTTAGAACAAAATCAAAGCAATGCATCATCTTGAGTAAATACTCTATCTCCGCCTTTTGCATAGACGTAGTTACGTCATCATCGTGTATCACATCAAGAGCATCACCAACAACAGAAAACATTGAAATCAAGCTCACCAAAGATCTATAATGTCAACCCCAACGTGTATCACCCGCGCGGTGAAGGCAAGATTCTTGGTGAAGACCCCTTCCACTTGAAATTTTACCACTTTCAAGCGCTTCAACAATGAAGTTCAATTGTTTTTCACGAAGAATGTCAGAACGTTTACACGAACCTCCAATAACATTTATCAATTGAGCAACAACACGAAAAAAATCAGCAATGAGAAGATTCTTTGTTGCAACAGCTACAAGGGCAAGTTGGAGTTGATGTGCAAAGCAATGAATGTAATATGCACTTGGGTTATCATTAAGAATAATTGTTTTCAACCCACTTAGCCTCTCTTGCATATTACTCGCCCCTTCATAACCTTGCCCTCTTAATCTAGATACGCTCAAGTTGTGTCTACAAAATAGCGTGTCAATCGCTTCCTTAAGTGCAAGTGATGTGGTACTAGTGACATGTTCAACTCCAATAAATCGTTCTTTCACATATCTACTAGCATCAACATAACATATCACAATTGACATTTGCTCTTTTGTTGATACATCACGGGATTCATCAACTAGAATAGCATATAAAGAATCTCCAATATCTTGAATGATAGCATTCACCGTTTCAATAGCACAAGCATGAGTTAAATCTTTTTGAATGCTAGGTGCAAGAAGTTTACAATTTTTTGGTGCATTATCCATTACTACAGAAGCTATCTCAACATTATGATCTCTTAAAAATTCCATGGTCACTAGAAAATTACCTGGATTTAGAGAGTCTTCAGATTCGTCATGACCGCGGAAAGGTAACCCCAACCTCAACAAGTACCGCACACAATCAAGAGAGGCTGTCAGTCGAATGCGATAATCATGCTTTGTCTGCATTGATTGATTGTCCAAAATTGTCTCAATATGTGCATCTTGGTTCATCAATGCATCACACCTCATTCGAGCTTGATTGTGCTCACTATCATGCTTTCCAAAATGAACATTAAGTTTGGCCTGATCTTTCCAACTGCTAAATCCCTCTGAAACAAACACATCTCCTCCTGATTGTTTCCCTTTGTTAGGTTTGAAAAGGTAACAATACAAACAATAAGCAACATCTTTAGATATGCTATACTCCAACCATTCATGTTCAGTAAACCAAGTCGGAACAAATCTTCTTGATTTATTTGCAGAAATCATCTTCATTGGGAAGTCATGTTCAAATGGTTGACAAAGGCCTTTCTGCAAATATGCTCTTCGAACTTGATCTCTAATATTTGGATGATACCTTGAGATCGGTATTCTCAATCCAGGGTCAGATGGAAGTTGGAAAGCATCAAACTCATTAGCGGCGACTGATTGTATGATTGTATGCTCTTCGTCATTTGTTGTTGAGTTTTCTTGAATTGTAGTTGACGGCACAGCCGACACTATAATTTTTGATGAGCTACTTTCATTAGCTTTTTCTTCAACAGGGTTATAGTATCTCTTCATTACCTATTTACCTATGTTGAAAATAACGAGATGACTACTTATTACACGAATATTAATTAACTTAATAATTAGATTAATTAGAACAACTACAAGTCACAAGCAAATACATACTACAAATGATGATTACAATTTACAAGTTCACAATTAATAATCAAATTCACAATTTCACATCAAGCAAAGTTTAAAATTCACAATTTACAAGTTCACAATTAATAATCAAATTCACAATTTTACACAAAGTTCACAATTTCACAAATTACAATTTCACAATTAAAAGTTAAAAAAAAAAATACCTGAAGCAGTCAACTAGTCAAGCAGAGGTGCAGAGCTGCAGAAGTGTAGAGCTACTTCTCGCCGTTCTCGATCTTCTTGGCGCAGAGCTGCAGCAGTGCAGGCGGACGGCGGTGCAGGCGTGCAGGTGCAGCAACGGGCCACCGGCACACCGTGCGCCGTCCAGTGGCCGTCCGGCAGGCGGCAGGTGAGACCGTGAGAGTCGCAGAGGCGCAGAGACGGCAGAGCCAGAGACGGCGTCACTCGTTTGGGGTTTTGCCGTTTGCGCAGAGCCGCAGATCCTCTGGTTTCGCCGACAAACAAAGAAAGAAATGGACTTTTTCTTTTTTTGGACTTGAAAATTCAGGTTGGGCCTAATTTTTTAAAAATTGAGATTGGGCCTAATTTTTAAACACCTATACTAGTTTTAAAAAAAATTCAGCATGGGCCTAGGCCCTGCCTGGCCTAAAGCCCAATCCGCCCCTGGTCAAAGGTGTACACTTTCTAGCATTTTTGTAATCCCATTAACTAAGGTGAGATTTCTTTGTGGAAATTACCAAACCACTTTTGAGTGTACTATATCATATTATCATTTTTGTCTCAACTACTCTTTCTATTCATTTTTAAAATTTTCTATTTTCAGTTTGGATTTTTTATTTCACTTTTAGACTATTTTGCCAAGCCCTCTTTATAAATTGCACTCCAGATCCAACAGAAAAAAATCGCCTCCTCTCCTGCTATTCTCTTCCAACTCACCTATCCCTTCTCATGGGGTGATGAATTCATATGTTCGACCTCCTTTATTCTCCCTTTCCTTCGATCTTTCGGCTCTAGCTTCTATCAAATCCTTCGACTTCCCCTTTGCGGCTATGTGAAGACTTCCCCTTTCTCACGCGCCCTCACTCGCAGTCTTTGAGGGTCAAAACGTTAGTTTTCCGACAAACATTGTAAATCACCGATGTCCAGGTCAAAACTTAGGCAAATCTGTTCAAATTCTTTCAAAGTCAACCCTGAGGTCAAACATTTTCTAAACCTAACTATAAAGGTCCGCAAGTCGTAGATAATTCAATCAACCTCGCGTCAACGGTCATCTTACAACAATCAACAATCAACCACTGAAGCCTCCTCTGACTCATCAACATTATGTGATCATCAATATCCTGAAATTCTACACGATGAGCTCAGGGAAACCGTCATGTGTGGTACTTGTTTAGATTTCCCCACACACATGGCGGGTATGACGAGCTGTGAGCAATCAAACCTTGCACATTCTGAGGGGGAGTTTCAGTTAATTCCTCCTGGCGCCATTCACCGTCAAAGCAAGGAATCTCTCAACAGATGCAACATTTTAGGGGGAGTGTTCAATGTTATCCTCCGCGGTGCCTAACAATGACAAAGCATACCGAGTGCTCCAGTTGAGGGGGAGTACATAGAGAAAATGAAGAAAGTAATGAGAGAAAATGTCCCTATGGCTTAGTAAACCCAACTAAGCCTACCCAAGGGACAAAGCCGAGCGTAAGTGAGTGAGTGAGCGAGCGAGTGAGTGAACATTATGAGCGTTAGGAAGCAGAAGGCTCAAGTGAGAAGAAAAACAATAATCAATGATGAGTCTGCTACCTCAACTGCCTATTATCCATTGAACTTTTACTCCTAGCCACTCAAATACTCTGGACAATTCCCAAATAGGTTCAGGACTGATTTAATCAAATCCCGGGTAGAAGTCACTACATCTTGTCCAACAGTGCATGTTGAACCCTATCCAAGACCACTCACTTGTCTCCCAACAGACAGGTGTTTAATCATACTTCACGGGGAACCGCATCTCTCATTACTGTCTCCTTCCGAGGCAAGTAATACTAACTACAGTGGCCTCATCTCCATGGCACTGAACTTTCATTGATCACGTTGTGTCTAGTTACTCACTCCCAAATGTTTTGAAATTTTCTAGGACACAGACGCACTTTTAGAGTCAATTGCAGGTCTACATGACCCGCGAGAACTTCCATATGGCTCATCTATTACAGATGTAGACCAATAATTGGAAGGAAGTCCTGCTGTTGCAACATAAGAATCACCAACATTTTCAGGCCATTGCTTTAGAGTTTATCTCTATAGTGATGAAAACGGGTGTCTACACGACCATGGGGGGCTTTTATCATTTACTCTTTCTGTTTGTTTCCTGTTTTATTTCCGCAGAATAAAAGAATAAAAGCATGACGTCCCGATTCATCGGATCGTCATGAGGGGGAGAGTGGTCCACATGCTATTAACACTGAACAAATCATTCTGGGACACTTCACTCCTCCATCACAAAAATCAACACCTTCTCTGCTATCTCTACAACTCAAATCAAATGGTCAGCTACACTCACAAATCAACAATCATTATGTTCCGCTGTGCCACCGACAAGTTCTCCTCAAATGCATTCATTCCAAATAGTCAAAAAGACTACATTGTGGAAGAGACAGAGATCAAATATTCGTGTCCTGAAGATGAATTCCATGGGCGTCTCCTATTCTCCAAAGAATATTCATTCTAAAGGCGTCACCGGACTTCATCCAAGCTGATTAAGAGCAACTTCTGGAAGGCAAGGACTACATGCAAGATACAGAAGGTCCCTCAACCCCCGACATCAAAGATCAAATTGTCAAGAAGACATCAAAGGGGAGATTGCAAGGATTTCTTCAGATAGCCTTCCTCAGAAGTCAAGTTCAAAGTAAAAGGAAGCTGAATAACAACAAAGACAAAGATATTTGCGCTGCAATGCTGATTCAACACAATTGAACACCAAGGGGGAGATTGTTAGGAATATTTTATGGTGTCCAATCTAATTAAATATCTTTGTATTTGTGTAGTTATTAATTAAACGTTTAATACGGGCCACAAATGTGTATCAGCCCGGGGGCTTCCTTGTAACCCGTAAGTTAGCCAACTTCTCCTATAAAAGGAGGCTAACTTACGGGAACCAAAACAATCGAGAAGAGGCTTTAGAGACGCAGAGGCGTAGAGATAGAGAGAGAAGGGTTTCCGCTGCTCTCCTTCTCCAGGGAGAGCAGCGGGTTTCATACGGTATACCAAATTCGTGTATAATATCGGCATATCTTTCTATCTGCTTCTTCTTAACTGCTATGGTTGTTTGATTGTTAGTATTTCTGGGTTTATCATTATCTATTATATATATTACT